AAGAAGTTTCAAAAGAGATAAGCGAAAAGTATGGAACCCTAGACATTAATCTTTTGTTAATAGAAGTTATACCCTTCATGAAACGAAGTAAGAAATGGCAAAAGACTCATTCTTGAATACTGGCAATTACAGAGAAAGAAAGTTTGAGAGTAGATCAAAAGGACGAGAGTAAATAATTTAAGGTAAAAAATTAAAGCTACCTTACAGGAACTATAGGCCGTTGCTGAGAAAGCAAAAGCATGGAAAGACTTAAGACAGATGCCAGGCCCCTGATTTTCTACAGAAAAAATGTTGAAACCTTATTTGAAAGTCCAAGGTCAGACCAATTCAACGGCCGCCTGGCAGCGACAAGCTGGAGTTGCGTGAGTTATTAAAGGACAAAAAACGTGTAATAAATTGTCTTGAATCATTTTATAGCAAATCCAAAGCATAACAGGTTCGGGTTTTAAATGCTTTGATTCACCTAATAACTTTTAAAAATGGTATTTAACAATTATAAAGTCTTATTTAGATTAAAATATGATACTTATAATTTTTTATTTTATTTTTAAATTACAAAATCTTTATTTAAAAAATATCAGAAGATTGCATTAGATCATTACTCATTATATTAACCCATCATTAAGCTGCACAAATACAAGATTCGTTGAAGCAAACTTATATACATTTTGATAAAAACAATGCTATGATGAACCCGATGTATCCAAGCTTCATTACCTTCAAAGTATTATATTTGAGACACTTCGATTATACCCTGCACTTCCCCTTCTGGTTCCACACATGCCATCTAGTGATTGTACCATAGGTGGATACAACATCCCACGTGGTGCCATCGTATTGGTGAATGCATGGGCCATTCATAGGGACCCAGAACTATGGGACGATCCAACAAGTTTTAAGCCAGAGAGGTTTGAAAATGATGAGAAATTAGGTGAACATTCTCACAAGCTAATGCCATTTGGGTTAGGCAGGAGGGCATGTCCAGGAGCAGGCCTAGCTCAGCGAGTGGTGGCATTAACTCTAGGTTCATTGATTCAATGCTTTGAGTGGGAAAGGGTTGATGGGAAGGAAATTGATATGACTGAAGGAAACGGAAGCACCATGCCTGAAGCTCACCCATTGGAGGCTATGTGTAAAGCTCGCCCAATCGTGAATAAGGTTTTTTATAAGGAAATAATTTGATTAAAATTGTTTAATTTGTTTGTTGCAAATATAGGCTTTAATTACCTATCTAGTATTATATTTTTACTGTATTAATCTAAATTTTGTTTGACGATTGATTCTCTTATAATTAAGGGTAATTTTCTTATAATTGCATAGCTGTCAATTACTTATAGTTATAATTATCTTAGCAAAATTTTAATGAGCTCATTTTCCATGCATAAAGTCTTTATTTTAGTGCTTTTGGAAATTAATTAAATGTGCTTTTGTTAACCACATGCTAATGATGATTTTTTTTATAAAAAAAAATCTAAGCTTAAAAATAAAAAAAATTGTAAATATTGATATTTGAATTTAAATTTGTTAAATATAATCGAGTGACAGAATAAATTTATTAATGAAAAAGAATCATATATGGTCGATACACTTGATTGCCTATTTTATTAAAAGTTTAAACAATTCAAATTCTAAATAAATTGAACCAAATAGATCCAAGGTATATTTCAAATATGAAAATGAGCATGACAAAAATAGTCAAACGAAAGAAGACTTTGAACCAAATGACCGTGAACATGAATGTTGACCTAGAACAAAATCCACCAAACTTATTTCACTCCAATCATGTTTTTCTATTATGATCCGCAAAACATTTTTTTTTCTTAAGTAGAAAAAAACAAGTAATAAAAGTAATGATTAGACGGAATTTTTATCTTTGAGATAAATTTGGGATGTTGGAAATCCAATTTGCATTGGTTACACTTTTTTTTTATTGATTTTAATAGATTTAAAGATTAGATTAAATCATTTTGTATTTTATTTTTGCTTTTTTTCTCATATTTTGAATTTATTAACATCAAATATTAAAAAAATGTATAAAATTTTTTTAACTTTATACTATGTAAGTTGATCCCTTCTCATATATATGTATGTATGTATGTATATATTTATATGTATATAAATATGTATGCAGAGAGATAGAGAAAATTAAGTTGCGTCAACGTAAACATAATTTAAAATTATATCACATCAATGTAAAAATAATTTATTTTATAAGAAAATTATCAAATGTACTAACAATAAAGTTTTTAAATTTCACAAGCAAATTAAAAAAGTAATACATATTTCTTAAAATATATTTAAAAAATAAAAAAATTTAATTAAAAATAGAAATGGTACATGTATTAGTCTCTTAACACTATTTGTAAAATTAAAAATTTATCCTAATAATGTATCTAATACTAAATTTTGTTTTATATTCTTTTATAACTTCTCGTACAGTAATATTTTTACATATAACCGTTAGATTTGATCATTTATTTTGACTTTTGTATTATTTCGATAGATAATAATATTTTTATTATTATATATTAACAGTTAAACTTTTATCATTACTGAATAAATAGTTAAACAATTTTTAATTAACTTAAAATTTATAATGAATAATATATATGAATAGGACATAAAATTTAATGATTAATTAATAAATATAAATCGTATAAAAAATATAAAATGATATTAAGACTAAATTATATATTATATTATATAATCTAAGCAATGAATCAACATGCAGCAAGTCACCAGATCAGACAATGGTGTCATCGTCCAGCAGTCTAAGGCTCTAAGCCTTGCTAAAAAGAGTATCACATTCACGTTTACAGCGACGCAATTGATGAGACGATTAGCCACGAGTGGTTGAGGTTAGATACCAACGAACGCGAAATTTGAAATTTTCAAATTAACTTTGGCTTCACTTTAATTTTGTCGCTGAAATTGAAAATAACATCTTATAATTTTCATATCAAAACAAAAACTAGTGACAGTGCTATGATTATTATTATTATTATTATTATTATTAGTGTCATTGAATTTATATGATTGTTTAATTAAATAAAAATAAAGATTATTTTATCATATTAGTAATGTAATTTTTAATCTTTATAAGTCGAATTCAAAAATTTATATCAAATATTGTTTATTACATTTGTTAATTTTTTATTATGATTTATCGAATTAAAAGATCTCACAATCGACATATAAAATTGTAATTTTAAAAATAGTATTTATAGTTCGTATTATAATTTTTAATAGATAAAAAGACGCAATGGTACAATGATAGCGAGCATTAATGTTTTTTTTTTTGGTACATGCAGATTGAAAATCATTTATGAAAATTCCAAATTATATTTATGGAAAAGAAATTCAATCGATTGAGTAATCTTGCCTAATATTTTAAGTAATGTTTAGTATAAAGTGATCATTTTAATAAATTTTTGTAATTTATATACGGTGATTAGATCATTGTATTTAGTAAACATTTGATAATTTTATATAACAATGATTTTGAATTACTAAAAGTGATCAGATCACTATTTTAAAAGGATAATCTAATTTTCATTCAAAAAGATGAATAATTTTTATTACGAGGTGAAGTCATATGAAAAATTGATAATAATCAATATTAACCATTTAATATGTAAATTAAAATTTTGATTGTTTTTAAAATTGTAATTCTTTTATATTATAAATTTTATATTTTCAAACTAATATTTATTATAATAAGTTCAAAAATAATGTGTATTTTTAAAATTTTTTTAATGTTTTATATATAATATAATGACTTTGTTTTTTTTATTATGATTTTAATAAATTAGTTTTATTTTCTCATTCAATTTTTTTTTACATAATTTATATTGTAAAAGTTAGTTTACTTAATAAATAAATATATTTATTAATTAAATAATTTAATTATATTTATTATAAAATAAATAAAATATTACTATATTTTATGAATTATTATCTTTAAACAACATTTAAATCATTAATTTGCATAACTATTACAATAAGAATGTTTATTTTATACTTTTAAATAAAATAATATTTGAATTTTTATTAATACCAAACACAAATGATAAGATCACCTTAATTATAGGACTATCTTGGTGATTACATTACTATTATGATTGAAAAGATTATTCTCCAAGATCATATTAGTAAAGTCAACAGTCAAGATAAACAAATATTCAGATAGAGATAAAATTGAAAGAAAATAATTAATATGAGTTGATTTATAAGTCTATATAAAAAAATAAAATAAAACTTGTTTGAAGAATATATTTAATTTGTTATAAATGATATTTTTTAACATTATTATAAAAAACTATAAAAGTTTTTCCTAACCACGTGGGATAAACTTCAATTTTTTGCATTTTAGAGAAGTGTTTTTTTCTTTTTTTTGGGGTGGTCTTTTGATTTTATAGGAAGAGGATTTTGATTTGCCTTTTAGAACAGATTACGTACCTTTATCCTCGAGTCAAACGTTTAAATGTATTAAAAAAATTTATCTTGGAAAGAAAGAATGAATATGATTAATAATTTTGGTTTCAATAAAATTATTTTCATCTTTGTTGGAGGCAAATAAATTGTCTTCAGATAGGGCTTTTTTTTTTTTTTTGGAACAATTATTTTATATTTATAATTGATAAAAAATTAAAAAAATTAAAAAAGATTAAAAGAAGTATTATATATATCTTGTAAATTTAATTAATTAAAAGTTTTTAAAAAATAAAGATCAAAGTCGAAAATTGTTGACCAAAATAAAGTTGGATTGATCAAAATGATCTAGTCTAGAATAAAAACAGAAGGGGAAATAAGCAAAGAAAGCATGTGATTATCATGCATGTTAAAAGTTTTAACTTTGGAAAACTCCACCCATTGAAAAATGGGTTTTCAAAATTTTGACCTTATTTCTTGAAGATTCATCACAAGCATTCAACAGGTAAGAAAACATCATCGTTGCAAACTATATTACTCCCTCTATATAAACAAATTCTTTTCATTTCTTTACACCATAAATAAGCCTTCATCAAATCAAAGTAGGAGGGCACAGCTATACCAAAAGCAAACCAACAATGGAAGAAGCAACAGTTCTTTACTCATTTCTTTCCTTTATCTTTCTCCTCATTTGTTTGAACTTGATGTTTCAATCAAGAAAACACCCCAAAAACCTCCCTCCAAGCCCACCTTCACTTCCCATAATTGGCCACCTTCACCTCCTGAAACCCCCCATCCATCGTTTGTACCATAGTCTTTCACTAAAATATGGTCCAATCTTCTCCCTCCACCTCGGTTCTCGGCTTCTTGTTGTAGTGTCATCTTCAACCGCAGCCAAGGATTGCTTGATCCAGAATGATATAGTTTTTGCCAATCGACCCAAGTTTATCGGGGGGAAGCACATAGGCTACAACCATACCGTTATTACAGCTTCGTCCTATGGTGATCATTGGCGCAACCTACGTCGAATTGGTACCACTGAAATCTTCTCATCATCTCGTCTAAACACCTTCATAAGTGTTCGAAAAGACGAAGTAAGGCGCTTGTTGCTGAAATTGTCGTGTGATTCACGTCGAGACTTTGCTAAAGTGGAGCTGAAATCCATGCTTGCTGACTTGACGTTCAATAACATCATGAGGATGGTAGCAGGGAAGCGGTACTATGGTGATGAAATGACGACTGAAGCAGAAGCAAGGGAGTTTAAGGACCTTTTAGCAGATTTATTTAAGAATAGTGGAACTGCAAATCCAGCAGATTTCTTGCCTATATTGAACTGGTTTGGTGGGTTTGAAAAGAAGGTGAAGAAGCTTGGAAAAAGGATGGACGAGTTTTTGCAAAAGCTGATTGACGACCACCGAAGTAAGAGGCGGGAAAACACTATGATTGATCACCTTCTTTCCTTGCAAGAATATGAGCCTCATTACTACACTGACGAAATTATCAAAGGATTCATTTTGGTTAGTTGAATTTCCTTTCTTCTTTCTACTTTACCAACCGACTGCATAGCTATTAGTACTTTTTAATATTTTTAATAGAGGACTTTTGGCTTTGAATTACGTGAACCCACCATTTCATCTAAAAGATTCAAATATGTAACATCTCATGTAGACAAAAACAAAAAAGCTATTTTGAAAAATGAACATGAAACTTGAAACATGTATCCTTGATTAAGAAATTAAAATTGTTGTGCAGGTGATGATACTTGCAGGAACTGATACATCAGCAGTCACAATAGAGTGGGCAATGTCCAATTTGCTTAACTACCCAGAAGTATTGAAGAAGGCTAGAGCTGAAATAGACAGTCAAATTGGCCAAGAAAACCTGATTGATGAAGCGGATGTTTCCAAACTACATTACCTTCAAAGTATTATACTCGAGACACTTCGATTATACCCTGCAGCTCCTCTTCTGCTTCCACACATGCCATCTAGAGATTGTACCATAGGCGGATACAACATCCCACGCGGTGCCATCGTATTGGTGAATGCATGGGCCATTCATAGGGACCCAGAACTATGGGATGATCCAACAAGTTTCAAGCCAGAGAGATTTGAAAATGATGAGAAATTAGGTGAATATTCTCACAATCTAATGCCATTTGGGTTAGGAAGGAGGGCATGTCCAGGAGCAAGCTTAGCCCACCGAGTGGTGGGATTAACTCTAGGTTCATTGATTCAATGCTTTGAGTGGGAAAGGATTGATGGGAAGGAAATAGACATGAGTGAAGGAAAGGGAACCACCATGCCTAAAGCTTACCCATTAGTGGCTATGTGTAAAGCTCGCCCCATCGTGAATAAGGTTTTTAGTAAGGAAATTTGATTAAAATTGTTTCATTTATTTGTCATAAGTTGGGTCAGAATATTATATTTTGCAAAAATAGGCTTTGATTAGCTATTTAGCATATTGTATGAAGTAAAACTTGTAGAGCAGTTATTGTGAAGTATAAATAGAAATGTTACTTTTGAAATTAATAGATTAATAAATAACTTCATTACAAGTTAGTTATGTATATAATTTTTCAAAATTTCTCATCCAAATTTGTATCTCCACAAAGGATGAATAACTTATGGAAAATAGTTTTAATTTATCATTGGGTTGTCAGAGAATTTCTGCAAAATCATGAAAAATTCTCACTTGAATAATCGAAATTCAATCTAACACCGTGTTATCAAAATTTTCTTATGTATATTGGACCTAGTCGTATTCTATTTTTGTTATGTATAGTTTTTTCATATGGTGTCTGATCCTTTGTTCAACGCCCCACGTGATCATGGCTTGGTAACTTTGTATTGCAGAAAAATTAGCAAAATAGCTAGCTAGTCGTTTGCCAATCCTTAAACAAATACTGCAAGAGCCATTTTGAAAAGGTAATCAAGGAAATATTCCCCTTTATTTAAGGTCTAATCTCTTCTTTGAGTGACTTAAAAGTACATTCTCTCACATTGTTATGACATTCAAGCTTTCATTTTCGAAATGCTTCTCACAAAATCAAACCTGATTAAGAAAAAAACAAAAATAAAGAAAACTCCTCTCATTAATAACGGATAATGTTATTTAACGTATTTTGTATGACCCTGAAATAATTATCTCAATCTTAACAGTTATTAAAAAGTTTGGTGGCCTAAAACATACAGATTGATGAGCCCTAACTGAGATGAAACTCATCCACTGGCAAATTTTATTTTTGGTATAAAATCTGGAGTGAAATTTAACCTGAGGTTTTTATCCAAAACGATTTAATCAATTACAAGGATCTCACTGACGAAATAAGAATTTGAAAGTATTGTTTAAAAAAAATGAACTCGTGCTGAGGGTATATAATAGGCTTACAAAAATGGATAATCATGCTACTGATTTTCTCGTTACTCTAGCTCACTTCTATTCAGATGTCCATTTTCAATTATATGAATTGGATTTTGGTAAAACCCCAAATAATAGATTACATCAAACTGTTTATAAAATTTTGACCCAAACTGTAATACATCAATATAATGGAAATTTTTTTAATACTTCTGACATTTTGCTGTCAGGAAAAACTAGGAGAAAGTACTAATAATAAATAAACAGATAAATAAACGAAATTATGGGACTTATTTCCCTTTCCACACTTATGTATTCCCCCATTCTTTTTCATTATGTATTAACTTTTTTTTTTTTTTTAAAAGGCAGTCTAAAGACAAAGAAAAGAAGTTCCAAACATTGGGATTTAAATTTCAAAATTTTTGAATGCTATCATTTAAAGGTTATTATATTAACCAACTAAACTAAATCCCGATTATGTATAAATGTTTTGTAATGTCGACAATTTAACCAAAAAAACCAAACCACTATAAATTAGTCATTATTAAAGGATAACAACTTAAAACACCAGAAACCAGATTGAGGAATACTAGGTTGTCAACCCACATTTTGCCAGCCGGAGTTGTGATTTTTAGTTTCAGTAAAAACCCAAAAGAATTCAAAAATTAAACGGGAAAGAAAACACTCAAGCCTCTGCTCAAATCTTAAACATGTGTCTTATTGTGAACATAATTAAACCTATGGCAGCTGAACTCTGGTCAAGAATAACCTCATGCCTCTAAGATAGATTAAACATTGCGGACAGCTTACCTAAGTCCAAAGATTGGACATTTCGAGACATGACAGCGGCACCTGCAACTAGTGCAATCGAGGCGAACAAAACACCCTTCAAGCATCCATGTCCTTTCGACAAACGTCCCAAAATCAACTTGCAGTACTTGTCTGCCTCCTTCAATGATGCACTTGCATCATCTTCTGCTTCCTCATTCTATTTGCAAACCAAATGGAAAAGTTAGATACAAATTCAGTCTCAGCTCTGCTTTGTAGAAAACCATAAATGTAGAAGTGTAGAACAAAAACAAGATGCACTCAGTGTTGGTTTCTTGAGGTCCAATTGTATGTGAAATATAATATCTATGATGATATCAGTAAGGGTATAGGACAGTGAACGATTTCAAATATTGTGGTTCCAATTACACAAACAAAACCCATGAAGACTTGTGGTGAAATGAAATTGTAAAGACCTACATCTATTGAGAGCATATCACTTACAATTATTGTAATATAATTAACCAATCACAATTTAGAATTTGTGTGTGGTCAATCAAAATTTTATATAAAACACACACAAATAAGTGGTGGACGCCTATATAATTCTTTATTTTAATTGGACAATTATAGGATTATGGTAAAAAAAAAAAATTGTAAGTGAAATGTTCCCACATCCCTCTTGTGGCAAGCAAAGTTTATGATCAATACATAGAGTTTAAGAAAATATTATAAAAACTAAGTTACACACACTAAATGACAAGTTTGAATGCAGCTCAGGAGTTCTCCCAATGAACAAGGACAGTATTCTATGAGGGATTACCATCATTAAATTAATCTAACATGTTATCCAAAATTTAAGAATGCGTTACCTTCTGCCTGAAACTTTTTAAAGTTTCCCTCAAAGGATCAAGTGTGGAATGTTTCACAGAATGCTCCTTCCATTCATTAGCAAGGTTTCTCAAAACAGCAACACTTGCTTCAAGGTTATCAAGATAAAGCCCATCCTGTTACCAAAGATATTGAAAAGAGCCAACAGAAATTTATCAATAGTCAACATAAGTGAAGAAAATACAATCAAAGATCTGAGGGAAAATATTAACCAGAAAGAAAAGTAGAAAGCACAATCAATATGTAAGTGGATGAAAAATCTTCAAATAGACCAGAAACTGCTCACCCATTGCTTATAACACTCAGGATTTTGAGTTAAACACCAAATAAAAATATCACTCGCTTCCTTTGATAGTTCTGAATCACCTGCAATAATGACAAAAAAAAATCAAATATGTTACAAATGGATAGAGCTAATTTCCTGTGCCAATTAACTAGGGTAGGTTTAAGATGCCACAGGAAAGCAGTCTGTAAGAATATAGTTTTACCTTCTCCAGCAGCTTTTACAGCATACTTCAGTATCTGCTGGGCAACTTGTTTCATTGCTTTGCCTCCAGGAGAACCAGCAAGGGCAACCTCCTTCAGGGTAGGATAAATAGCTTCAAACCTCTCAGTTGCCTAAATGATTAATAGATTAGAAATGAATCAGATCCCAAATTTGTGGAAACCCTAGACTGAGTCAAAAGAAATCATGCAAAAGATCCAGCACAAAACCTACCTTAACTCGAGCTGAGGGTGCTGGAAAGGTGATTCTCATCAAAATATCAAGAGCAGAAGGTGGCACCAGCCGATCTCCCTTTCTGACAGCAGCATTTACTAAAATAGGACGAGCTTTTGGAAAGGAAATTATTCTGATCTCAACAAAAGAAAAAAACAGAATCACAAGGATTGGAGGAGGAAAAATAGAAGTGTTGGCATAAAGCAGAAAACATATATTATATATAGACCTAGAATTAGTCTGTAAGATACTTCCCAAATCACAAGCCCAAAGATTTAAAAATGCAATAAATTTATCAAAAGCAAATGGCATCCACCTCTCTACCAACTGTAAAATCAAGTCTCTAGACTGAGGATTACAACTTGACTTGCCACTCAGCATAGGCAACAGAACATGTACCCACAGGGACAGCCCTACTGCTAAATCTCCTTGCGTGGCCTGTGAAAACAAATTAATGGTTGAGATTCATACCCTAAAGAGTGATTTGTACATGAAGAAACATTATATTCTTAAGGTTGTCAATGGCCACCTGAGCAATCATCCACACAGTGATAGGAAGTTTATCCTGTCCCTGGTATTTTGGATTTTCCCTCATTGTCGGTGCCAAACTGATCAAAACATCAGGTTTTCTTCTCAGTGCCATTGCCAAAACCACAAATATAGCAACCTGCAATTCCAGATTGGTTCATTAAACATGAATTAATTATCTGACCAGTTGCTAACATCAGCAATAGAGAACTACGTAACGGTATTCAAACAATGTTGTTTAGCATTCAGGTATAGACTTTGAAATTGAAATCAGTTAAGCAGAACTTAGATTAAATAGAAACGTTTTGAAAAGAACCAAATTACACATATTTTGGAACGAAACAGGTCACTTATGGACATCAGGAGAGATTCTTGGTTGTTTAATAAAAATTATACAAGGAGGTCAAAAAAGAAACTACACCAATTTTATGATTCTCATCATAATGATCATACTTTGATCTAGTTACATAATAAATTGACAATCTATTTTATTTAGATTGGATCTTTGCTGATACTTTCAACTATAAATAAGTATTTTAAAGAAGAAAATTATTTGACTATAAGATGAAACCATGCATGATCCAAAGTTCAAAGTATTTCATCTAGTTTAACAACGATAGTCTAACATGCATAAGATTTCACCCCTAAAACAAATATGATGCATGAAAGGGATAGCAGGAGAATGGATATCATTTTAGGTCTGTCAGTATCACAAATTTTGAAACATCATTAGCAATTTGACCAGCTAAGTGGATGCAAAAGATGACAACCTAGTCCGGAAATTCTATGCTTGATACATAAACATATACACTACCATTCTTTTCGACTAAGTGCATCTCCTTCCATTTTAGACCATTCTTTAAGATGCAGCACAAAGATTTTCCAAGAGCATACTAAGAAATAAGGTTAAAAATTACCAGAGACTTCAATGATGATTGCTGAGAGACTTTCTTCGATCCCTTAGTAACTGCTTGATGACTGGCTAGGTCAGCCAGAATGCTGTCCAATGACCATAAAACAAAAGATACTAGCGCATCCAAAGATCGCTGGTTCAACCAATCAACCGATGTCTTATAAACATCTTCTGGAACATTTGAAAGCGGAATCTATTCAAAACAAAATAACAACAATAAATCCAACATCAAGCTAACAAAATTCTATTGATGCATGTACTACAGCTTAACAAACAATAACGGAACAAAATCATGGCCTTTTCCAAAAATATAAAAAAGAAATAAAAAATTAAAGAAGAAAACTTACATCAACCAATTTCGAAACAGTGGATTCTTTGAAAATCTTTAACCAAGGGAATTGCGCTACATTCACTGAAGCAAATGCTCTTCCAAAGTAATCTGCAAATCTCATTAATTGTATTTCTTGCTGCGTCTCATAAGAACTCTGAAATTTTTAAATTTTTTAAAAATTAAAAAAAAAATTAAGAATCAGATTCAGATCACTCAAATTTAAAACACAAAAAAAAAATGTAAATGTAAATTTAAAATTAAATTTTCATTATTTTTTAATTGTACTTATTACTCACAGTTATATCAATAAGAAAAGCGCTAAGATCACCAGCATCAATCTTCGAAGCAGCTTCCGCCACAGTCACCTTCGGTTTCTTTGGCCTCTTCGGCTTCACCTTCTTAATCTCCACAGCACCGTTCTCGGCAGAACCACCGGTGTCACTATCATCTTCCTCGTCAGACTTCGATCCCTTAGCGACGGCGGAAGAAGCCGCTGCCGCTGCTGCTGCCTCCGCAGCCTCAGCGGCGCGACGACGGCGATCCTCAGAATGTTTCTCGATCGAGCTGAAGACGGAGGAGGAGACTCTGTCATTGGAACGATCAAGAGAAAAACTCTCCGGCGGAGGAAGTTTAGATGGTTTCCGATTCCGTTTCGAATAGGACACCGTTTTCCATCCGTTAACGTCATCTTTTTTGCCGTTATCGTTTTCAACTTCTCCGAGAATTTGCTCAATAGTAGCAGAATTTTCGTCCATCATTATTTAAAATGAAAACCAAAATACTTTTTTTTTAATTTTTGGGTGGTGGATTAAAACGACGGAGTTTTGGTCAAAAAGGACTGTGTTTAACGACCAGAGAGATGGGGGAGAAGAAAGAAGAGGGGAGAGAAGGCGGGTTTTGAAGGGAAGAAGGCAGAAGACAGAAAAAAGGACTCTTTGTCAAAATGGACACGTGGATTTCTATGTTTGTTTTTTCTTAAGCCTGATTTCACATTTCTGAATTAAGGTTATTACAGGATTCCATTATCCGTTTGTGATTGGAGATTTGGTTTTTCTTTTTTTTTTTTTTCTTATTGTCAGAATTAATTTTTAAGACTTGATATCGATACACGGCGAATGCCTTCCATTGCGCTGGAGTTGTGTTTCAAGGGTGGAGAGAAGCTCCAATCATACGTTCAAATCAAGTTTAAGGATTAAATTAGTATTGCTATCATGGTTAAAAAAAAGTTTGAGTTGAAAAAATATTTGTTTAAAAAATATGATTAAAAATTTTAAAATTTTGATATAATTATAAAATAATCATGAGAAATTAAAATATTTAAAATATATAATAATAAATTATTAAAAATATAAAGATAATAAAATAATTTTTATTCAAATGCATTATTTTATTGTAAAAATAGTTGAGAAGTTTTTTATTTAAATTAAAATTTTTAATTTTTAAATTAAAAAGTTAAATTTTTGGAAATAAGATATAAGCGATTTTGAAACATGTAGATTAAGATAGAAACATAATTTTAATTGGTTTACAAATATGAAAGGTTATAATAAGAATGTAATAGATCGAATTTGAATTAATATAATATTAAATTTAAATTAAATTTGATTTAAATTTAATCAAAATTTATTTTTTTAATTTAAGTTTGATTGAAAATAAAAGTTGAATTACTTGAAATAATTCAATTAAACTTAATTTATATATAAAAATAAGTTTAATTTTTATATTCAATAAAATTAAATTATTTATATTACAATTCAAATTTAAATTCAAATATTTATTAATTAAAATATATTAAAATATAAAAATTTTATTAAATTCACTAACTATTTAAATTGAATATAAAAATATTTAAATTCGATTCGATCGATAAATCAAATTATTCGAATTTAAATTTGATAATAATCAAATTAAATTTAAATTTTATTTAAATAAATCTCAAATAATTTATAAATATTAATATATTATTTACATCTTTAAATTGTAATTGATAAATACTTCATTGGATTTTGAATCACCATATTAACTAGTGGGACCCACAGAACTTTATCTCACTGCACCCAAATCTTACAGTTGGTAAATATCATTTATCGAGGTTATAGTCAGTAAATACATCATTTACACCTCTAGGTTATAGTCGGTAAATACTTCATTAGATTTTGAATCAACATATTAACTAGTGGGACCCACAGAACTTTATCTGATTACAAAATCCAAATCGGCCTAACAACCGTCCGATCTCCAAATCATGATGTCATCTCTTAAAATCAAGGGCTAATAAGTGGGTACTGATTAAAACTTATTATAGATTATTTTGAAGAATATGGAGAGGGAGGTAGTTCGTGAAAGTGATATGCACAAAATCAATGGAAGATATTAATCTCTCTTTTTCTTTGAAAAAAATATTTTTTTTATAAAAAATTAATTTCAAACACACAACTCATTATATTTTACTTCATTTAAATCAATGATACAAGGGTCGTATTCACGATGACCATTTAAGTTTGAAACAATTTTTTAATAATATGATCAAAAGTATTTTTAGTTTTATTTAAATTTATTTTTTAAAATGATTTTAAGAACGTAATTTTTTATATCAATTTTATGTATTGAAAATTTTATTTTTTGAAAAAAATTTCTCAGCATAACATTTTTCCTTTGTATAATAAAATAATGTAAATTGTATGCATTAAGTATTAATAGACGTAAATAAACCATATTTGATTTAATAGTTACTACAAGGCTTTATATCTTATATATACATACTATTTTTATCAGTAAGTTGTTAAAATACCGTCACGTGACTTTTTAATTTTTTTTATTAATGTTTCTATTTTTTATTTTAAATTACATAAATTTATTTATTCATTAAACATTCATAAATTTAATTTAATTATGAATATATGTAATTCATGTTTTGCATCATTTAAAATTTGACCCTAGATTCATATTTATTATATTTCGATATTCCTGAATTTGTGGTACAATAAACCTAATATTAATTATGATGAATGTATTTTTTTTTTGTACAAATGAATAAATGTACTTAACCATACATTATCGTAGATATTCATAAATTTGTGATATTTTAAACTTAATTAATCGTGAATAAGTGTATTTCATATTTTTAAGTTTTCAGTCTAAATTTTTATTTATTATTCATTAATTATGAATTAAATTCAAATTTAATGAATTTAACTATTTACGAATTTAATTATTTATAAATTTATGATATTAATAAGTACAATTAATTGTGAATAAATACATTTAGTGCTTAATGTAATTTAAATTTAATATATTTATTAAATAATAAAAATACACATAAATCAAATTATTGCATTAGATCTACATCAACGCATGGAATGTGCTACTAATTTATACTATATTTACTACGAAGGAAGGAAAATAAAAAATTTTTGAGAAAAAACAACAAAAGAATGAAATAAAACTTTTTTTTTTCTTTGTGTTTGATGGGTTGAAAAATAAAGAAAAGAAAGATAATAAGGATAAAATTATAAATAAAATATTTAATTTAAGTAAAATTGTTTTTTATCTCAATTTAAAAGGAAAAAAAATATATAAATATATTCATTTTTTTCTTTCTTTCTATTTTCCTACTAAAAAAAGTAAAAACTATCTTCTTTTTTTTTAATTCTTTCTCTTTTTATCCTATCAAGCATAATGTTAGGAGTTAGATTTAAATCAAGGATAATGTAAAATTGATTTAAGTATAATGAATGTGCATGAAAAATAATTTGTAATTTTTTATAATCTAAAAGGAATAAAAAGATATTATGAAAATGTATTCTATTTTATGTCAACATTTAAACAATACATATAGATTTGTGTATTGAGAGATGATATAAAAAGCAATAGTAGCTGCCAAAGGAGACAAAGGTGGGAAAGGAAGATTTTTATGTAACAAAAAGGCAAAAAACTTTTGTTTTTTTTTCTTTATTTAAGATATTTTTCTTTTGTTTGCATGTTGTGGAAGATAGTGGCTTAAAGATTCAATGGAATTTTGAAATGTTTGCTCAAATCCATGGGGGCGGTTGGGAAGTGAACAACCTTCTTCTACTGCATGTGAAACAGGGTGCAATACAGGACATTTGAAGTACATTTTCTCTTTATAAAGTTGCCAACAAGGAAAAGATCAAAAAAAAAAAAAAAAACCAATTCTCTTGTTTTTTTCCTTAGAATAAGACAATATATTTTAAAAAAAGACAGTAAAAATCACATGTTGTACAGTCAATTTTATTTAAATTTTTTATTTAATTATATTAATGATATTCCTTTTTTAACTATTTTTTAAATTTTTTCTTGATTTAAAATACTTATAAAATTATATCTCTTTACAATAAATGATTAAAAGTTTAGTATACCAAGTAATATTTTATATCATAAATTTAATAGTTAAATTTTATAGATAAAAAATTTCAGTATTGAATATTTTCAATTCATCATACAAAATCCAGTTAAAATATTTTTATAATAATATTTTATTATTAAATAAAAGTTGCCCATGACTTGCTGAGTATACAAAGATTATGAGTTTGTTTTATTAATGACATTCATCCCTTTCTTGCATTGTATTTTAAGCCAATGAAATTTTAATTTAATAGTAAAGAAAAATTTTTAGAATTTTAAAATTTTAGATTCAAATTTACGCGAGTTTAATTATTTAATTAAATTATAATTTATTAATTATTTATTTAATAATATAATAATTAATTATATACATATAATATTTAATTATAATTAAAATTTTAAAAAATCTATCGGATAAATTCCACACTAGAGTTAATCGATTGGGATAAAAAATGGGCATAATCATGAAAGTCCAAAAAGGCGAAAATGGGCATCATCCTTTTGCAACAAACTGCAAATTATTACAGATGGAGCACTGTACCCGATGCGTGACAGGTGGCTCGTTGACCATTTTCCTTTGGATCCCTTTGCTTCAACCCTTTTTGTGCACATTTTTTAAGTGATTGGATTTTGGTTCGTAAAGGAGGCTATTGAGAAAATTTATATATATATATATATGATATATATTTGCAAAATTAATGGGTTTTTGAATTATTTTAATTCTTTTTACTACGATAATTTCATTTTAACATCTTATGCCTCAAAGTTTTAACAATAATATATTTAATTTTTTAAAAAATAAATTCTTAATTTTCTCTAAAAAAAATTTTTAAAATCAACTCTCGTAATCTTATTAACGGTCGTTCGTTAAAAAATGTTAATAACTAATGCAAATGCAAAAGTAAAATTTGCATAAACACTTCAAATATTTGAAAAACAAAGACAAAATCATTAATTATTATTTAATACCTAATTACATTTTATAGCTAATTAACACTGAGCATCCAATAAATACTTACCGTAATAAATGGGTACTTTTGAAAAATAATCTTGAATCTATATAAATTTTTAATTTGTAGTTAAATAAATTTTAATATAAATTATTATTTTATCTAAAATAAAAATTTATTTGAATATAAATTAAACTAAAATAACTTATTTAAATACAATAATAATATAAGAATTTATTTTTAAAAATGATTTAAAGAAAATTTTTTAATATTTTGACCTTTAACAAAACCTAGAAAGTTTCAAAAGAATTGATCTCATAGCAAATGTTAGATATTACTGCACGATAATCATAAATATACCAAGAAAGCCTCAAATGCCTCGAATAAGCCAAGAAAGTCATAAATGAACCAAGGTAGGCAAAAGTATACCAACATATTCAAAGAGGTTGCTGAGCTCGTTACTAATTCTTAGCTCCTGGATGAGGATTCAGCTTAGTCAACTTCATCCACCTTTCTAATTCTATTTTTAGTGGGGGATTCAAAAAATTTTTTCAAAAATATCTACTTATAATGTATATATATATATATATATATAAGTTTATTATCGAATTTAATAAATAATTTTATTGACGAAAATTTTGTAATGTGCAAAGAATTTTTTTTTTTTAATTTTTCAATTTTAGAAAAGTATCTTTTTTTTTTTGTTTGAAATTTTTTGATATTTGGTAAGTACTTTAAACTTCAATTAATTTGGAGTTGAGTCGAATTTAATCGCATAAAGAAAACAAGCTCTTTCAAATTTATTTTTTTCATTCACAAAACTTGAAATTCTAATTTTATTTAAGAGAAACAAAATTTTTTATCATTCATACCAACATACATTGATATATCCCTTTTTCTGTACCTTTGATCCACCTCTATTTATTTCTCAATCTTATATCACCATATATAAGTTGAATTAACCTCAAAACTTGATTCTTTCAGCCAAACCAAACAAAAACGACGCAATCATTAATGAAGAGCCATTTCTAATTTATTTATGCTCATCATTGGGACATATTCACTTCCTCATCGAACAAGTAACACAAACGAAACAACATAAAAAATTTGGTCTCAACTCTTTCTGCTGGCTCACTAAAGACCAAGAACTAGAACCAAATTCCCTGATTCGTATTCTAGTTCTTGTCCAACAAGTCCTTGAGTATCGCTTGATCGAGTCAGTTGAACAAAATAAGTGAGACTGAGTAACAAAGGTTTTCTTATGTAGAACAAGACCAGTTAATTTTAAATAAGACATGGTGATAAAAATATAAAAATAATACGAAAAAAACAAGTGATAATTTAAAATTTTAACAAAAATATTTGATAAAACAAAAATATATTTTGTATTTGACAAATTAATATGAATTAGGACATAAAAATTTATTATTTTATACATGTTTTACATAATTTTAAATAGACAAGGCATGGATATTTGAATTGTGAGGAGTGTGTGGAACCTTGGTGATAATAACAATCATAATAAACAACTGCATATCTCATAGCTATTTTAACAAGGTAAGAGAGGAAGACTGGCAAAATAAGACACATTCCAGACTGCAAAGAGTGTTACCTTCTAAGGTGAGCAAAGGAAAGCTCAATTAGTCTAGAGATAATTAAACATGACATGGATACTGTCCGCAGTTGCTGAAAAGACTATTTTTTGTTCAACCTACAAATTATTAATGCAAATGAAAAATCTATGAATATTCCAACCAAAACATGACCCAAGATCGGTGGCATCAGCGTAGCCTCCTTGCTTCCCTCTCAGACTCAAGAAGGGTGAGAATGTCCCCAACCCTGACTGGTCCCTTCACATTCCTTGTGATCTCCCTGGTATCATCAATAAACCGCACTCTTACCTGGGTTACTTGCCCTCTTGACCCAGTCCTGCCTATCACCCTGGTCACTGTTGCATTCTTCACTCCTGAATCCATTTTCAGCAGCTTCTCCTTTGAAGTCAAGACCTGACAATCCAAACAAAAAATTAACATATAGAAAGTGAAAAAAATCGCCCATCTAACTAACAATGAGATATTAGTTATACCCCTTTTGAATAATCCTTGCATCAACTTAGGAATGATCAAGTATAACCGAATTTTGTGCAGTAAAACAGAGAATATCCATTCATCAAATATGAAAAAGAAAAAAGAAACAAGTACTACAGTTATTATTAGCTTTTCATTCATAAAATCTTGCTCAAAGATGATAAAAGCTTCATGTTGGTAATCAACTAACATTCTTTAATTTGGCACCTAATTGGGTTAATTGAAAATATATAGAAAAACAGAACTAGTTATATCAAATTACCATCAGTTGATTATGGAACATTTAAAATAATTTCAACCATGATGCCTAAAGAAAAAAAAAAGCCAGAAGCTTAGCTTGGCTTTCTATATATGTATATTTATTGATGATGAAATTTATGATCACAATTACACTCAATATGAAAATGATTTAATCTAAAATTTAGTTTAATTTGTTATGTAATCAATTTAAAATGTGATATCGAACCGAAATTTAAATTTTAATATTTGTAAATTCTTCTTCATCCCTTTTCACTGCAATCTTTTTTATAAAAAAAATAATTGTCCCATATCAATTTAACAAGTGTACAAGCTTGTTCTATTGAATATAAAATCATTAATGCTTTAACATTGTTATTGTTCCAAAGTAAAAGAAAAAAACCAAAAACAATGATGCATATTAAATCTTGGGTTTTACAAATATAAAAATTAATAAAATAAAAGGGTCTTATGAAAAAAAAAAAAAAACAAAGAAAAATGTTTCAAACATGAGCAACAAGATTATACTTAAAAACATGAAAACAATATAAGAAAAAGGAAAATAGAGCCATGGATTAGAGAAAAAGAAGGCACGAATATTTTATTTATTTACCTTTTGACTTGGGATTGGTGTGGGTGAAAAAAGAGGCGCAAAAGACAATGGAAAAGTCGGGTAGAGACGGAATATAACGTGGGTATTTAACGCCGCCAGCAATAAATGCCCTAGGGTTGTTGGCAAATATCAGAAAAAATTTTATCACGTTCTTATTTTCCTTTTTAGTGAAGGAAAAACCATTATTATTTCATCCATCCTAAGCCGTATTAATTAAATGATTCTAAAGCAAACTTTTTTATTATGGATGGATGGATGCTGGCTTATGCTTTAAAGAGAATTTATTTTATATTTTAAATTCATTAAAAGGTTAAAAAATATTTTTTTATGAATGTTTTAGATGTTATTCAGATAAATTTATTTAGATTGATGTAAAAAGGAATGCATAGGATAAAGTTAAAAAAAATTTTATTAAATAAAAAACTTTTTTATTGTATCTTTTTTGTTTTTATTATATATCGAAAGGGTATACGATTATTTTTAATGGTGGAAATATGAGGTTTTTTTTATCAAAAGAATTAAGTTAAAGCTCTTTGGTTATTTTTAATTGTCATTACTTGTAAAATCCTTAATTCAAATATAAAACACATTGAAGTAAAATCATATTTTATTTTAACTGCCTTTGAAAAAAAATGTTTAATTATTTAAAAATAATTTTACTTTGGTATCCACACATTTTTTTTCCTTTTAATGGAAAAAAAAAAAACACTTTCTTTAACTATATCTTTTCATAAGAGAAAAGGAGGCTGTCCATGGAAAGAAGCCATTATTTTCATTATGTATTTCTTTTTTTTTGGGTAAACATATATTATTAGTCACACGATAAAACAATAATAATTAAATCACTATTTTAAAAACAATAACACAATTAAATGACTAATTTTTATATATATTTTTTCTTTTGTACGGTACAATTTATGCTATTTAATTCAATCGATCTAGTATTCCTTCAACCGGATTTAAAAAAGTAATAATGCTACTTAATTCGATCGGTGTAGTATTCCGTCAACAGCATTTCAAAAAGTAAGACATTCTTTAAGATATATTTTCAAAAATAAAAATATTAAAAAAATAAAATTTGTAAACTAATTAAAAAAAATAAGATATGCATAAATATTTTAATCCCAATTGTAAAATTCAAAATTTTATCAATAATATATCAAATAATAACTCATAATTAAAAAAAATTATAACCTTTAAACTCCTTGAGTAAAACTTAAGAACTCCAAGAACAATGCATGAAATAATAATCCAATTTAAAATCATTCATACCTTTTTCTAGTCAAGAATTATTTTCAATACGAATGAATTTAGTTACCACAATCTGAATCTCTTGAAGATCAGTGAAAAATTGTACGGGAAGAATATTGCTTTTATAATCAACAATCAGTCCATTGCTTCTGAATATTGTGAACTGTGCAGAACTTTTTGGACCATGGCTATTTTGGAAGCAGGCAGACTGTAGATATACAGTTGTGGATTAAAACGGATAAACTCCAAGTCCCCAAAAGGTTGAATATGCAGAAGTGGAGCTAGTTGTGACATAAAAAAATAAAAAAACTGACGATCATTCCAGTAGTATGTCTAGAGCTTCTAGGGACCAAAAAAATGACCAAATCACTGATGGAGTCTATTGTGAAACTAAAACAGTCGATTTGAGGAAAGCCAAACGGTTTTTGGTCAGATTGATCTTCTCTTCTGCTTCTGCTGCTTTTTCCTGAACACCACGGACAATATCCTCAGGAGCTTTCTCTATGAACTGCAGAGAACACAGATTGTAGATATTGTAAGCAGCTAATAAGTAAATGCAGGCATCAATAAGCATAGAAGAACACGACACTCATCTGAGAAAAAACGGCCCATCAGCTAACACATCCTATGAACAGCTGTGCTAGTAAACTTACAATAGCTTCCATAGCAATTTTTAGCATATTCAATGACCGGTTCTCAGGATACAACTACAAATCTGACTACTATAAACTAGTGCCATTTTATAAGTTCGGTACCCTGCTTTTATCCTCATTTTAATACATACACTAGGCAAGGTTTGCAAAGGTTCAGCACGGTGGCCAGTAAGCTGTAAATCTTACTCATAAATGGCCCAATAACCATATGCTTTGTTATTCTGTTAAAAATGTTAAATACCATTTGTGCTATAAAAAATGCATGATATTAGTGCATCTACCATTATGACTGAGTAAAGTTCATACTTTAGGGGATGTGAGGCGAGCTTTAAGTCCCTCGTACTCTGTTTCCATCTTAGATAGGCGCTTGGTAAGGCGTTGAACTTCAGCAGAAATATCAACCATATCAGCAAGGGGAAGATATGCCTCTAGTCCTTCACTTGCAACAAGGTGAACTGACTGTTTTGCATCCCCTGTAAGAATAATTACATTTAGATGCCCAACATTTCATATATCAAATATGTCAGTTGATAAAACAAGTACCATTAGTGAAATGAACATGCAAAGCATTTCTTCATCCTAGGACCAAGGAATACATGGTTCAAAGTAAACATGCCTGGAGGAGAATCAGTGAAATGGATGTTGTCTACATCTAGCCTGGATAAGAGAGCCAAAACCTCCTTCTCTTCCTGCATCAAGAGGATACAACCTATCAGCACAGATTTGCAGACATGTGCTAAGAGTGCAGATACTTGAGACATTGGTGTCATTCATTAAACCATTCCTTTTGCCACCCGACTTTACAACAGCCAAGAGGTAGTATAAGTATTAGTATACATTATACAAATGGTTGAAAGACAGCATAATCAAGATCAAAGGATTATGATATTACATGTATGGAATTATGGAGCAAGAAGAATGAACAAAAAGATGCCATTTTTTTTTTCACTAATAAGACAATCTCTAAAGAAATAAACTATACTTACAGATATATACTGAATGACTTCTTCACTGGCAACAATAGAAGCAGATAAACGCTTTGCTGGCTCAACAGAGTACTCAGCTCTAGCATTCCGGATTGCTCGGGTCTAGCACATAAATTAGCAGAGGTTAGTGATTTCCTTACCTTAGTACTTATGGCTTGGAGATTGTAATAGTGGCATCTCGGGAGGTGTAGAGGGAAAAAGAACACATCTATTAACTCACCATAGCTTGTAAATTTTCAAATCTTTTTACCAAATTAGTGTTCCTGGGAAGAGAATTTTGTGGCCAAGTAGATATTATAAGAGCTTCTTTCCGATAGGGAAGTGCCTGGAAATAAATAAAACGAAAAAAAAAATCGACATAAGCATCGTGTTTTAAGTTGCATCTGCAGAAAACCTCAAATTGGAAATCTTAGGGAATGCCTAAAACAGTACACTATGGAAAAAGATCATTTCTTGTTTGCCGCACTACTCATGCATGCCAGAATGTGGACCCAAAAGTTATCCACATGAGTGCATGTGTGCAACAAGATGTGCACCTGATACAACCAGCATAAATATAAGGGACCAATGCATGCTTTATCATAAGAACATGGTAGGGTTAAAAAAAAAAAAAGAATGTGGTAGATGTTCATATGACCTACAACTGTTTGTCAATGGAAATTGTATTCCACAGGATCTCATAAAGACTTAATATTAACATGAATGAGCACATTTGCGAAGACAGTAAACTGAATTAGTGTGAACTAGAAAAATTTTATCAACAAGAATGCAGTGAAAGTGTGAAACGTTACAAAGCCCATACTTGCCACAGTTCCTCAGTTACAAATGGCATGAATGGATGTAATAATTTCAGTATATTCTCAAAAACATAGAGTAGAACTGCCTGTGCTATTAAAGCAACTGAATCATCTCCAGAGTGGTAAAGGTGAGCTTTACTGGCTTCAATATACCTAAGAAAATGAGAAAACCAATAAACCCCAAGCATGGGGGGAAGATCTAAAAACTAGTCATGTAACAGACAGAAAATAACTAACAGTTAATAAAGTAAAAATTATTCCAAATATTTTTGCCAAAATATATCAGAAAACGACAAGTATTTCATGTATGTGTCAGCACACACTGACAAATTAGAAACCAACTTACATTATAATTCTTATAATGATACCAACAAATAACATACATGATCCACCAATTGAATTTACCACTTGAACCTAAGAAAAAAGCTCACTATGTATATTACGAAAACATGAACTTTGCTTGTTTTCAGTTTTCACATCCGACACAGTCCTAACATTTTAGTTTCAATGATCTGTAAATGACGTAATCTAGACCTTAATGGCATAAAATCATAGAACATAAATCTGTTGGCATAAAGCTGCTTATAAAGGCATTCAACATACCAATCAGCAAAATCACCCCAAAAGAAATCATATGTTTCTCTCGCAACATCCCCAAAGAAAAACTTGTTATAACTCTCAGTGACAGCATGAATAAGCATATGCAGTTTTGAGACCTGAAAATGAAAAAACAGCATTCAAGTAACTTTTCTCTGTAGCATTTAAAGAAGGAATAATCAGTTATAAATGAATGTAGCTAACTTGGTTCAAGGGTAAAAATAAAAAGAATGGCAGCAAAGACTATGCATCGTATTATTTTCTTACCACCCAACATTCAGGAAGAGGAAGCCTTAGAAGAGACTCCTCTGTGTCAAACTGAAAAAGAAATAAATTGTTTCAGTTTACTGATTAGGATATATTGTTCATGTTCTTAAGAACTGGACATTGTGATTTCGTCAAAAGCACAAATAAGTTACATCCCATGCCATAATAACAGTTACGTATGCAAGCAAAATCAGAACAATACTGTTCATAGTACAACCAACAAACACAATGAATGCTCCACCTTCCCCATCATCCTACAACTGGTAATAATTAATAATATCAATATACTTGATCTTTCTGATTTTCGTAAGCAATAGTATGGTAGCAAATGCATAGTGTTGTCCCAAGACAAGGTCACAATAGTGATCTAACAGCTATCTCACCAATCTGAGCAAAGAGAAACAAACCTCACAAGCCTGTATATTCTGCCAACCAGAAACATCATCCTGATTAGGCAGATTCTGCAGCACAAACTTGCCAGCATTCCATAATTTGTTTGTGAAGGCCTTGTTTGCTGTTAGCCTTTCAGTAGATAAATTAAGATCCTACAGCGAATTCAAGGGAAATT